GATAGATAGATAGATAGATAGATAGATAGATAGATAGATAGATAGATGAAATTCTGTGCTCTTCTTTCCCAGACCAGTGCTTGTGCATTCTCCATCTCTATTTGTGACTATAAACTCTAATGGCATGTCCACTTCTGGCATGTCCACTTTTTAAAAGGCAATTCGATGACCAGTCATGCACATGCTTTTAGAAACAGACTGCAGACTCTGCTTTTTCTGGGAGTTGGTTACAGCACAAAGGCAGCTCTTACTCAGCCCATCAGGTTGCAGGGCAGAGAGGGTTACAGGTTCCCCCTCCAGCTGCTGACTTACCATGTCAATGACTTTCAGGTGGCCATATGAAAAGACAATAGCATTGGGTGGATTTGCAACTGGCAGAAGGAATGCAAATGAGGTACAAAGCGTAGAAGGCAGCAAAATATGAAGAGGGTTCACATGAATGGCTTCAGCCTGTTGTAAAAGAAAAAAAAAATAAAATTAAAAATAAATAAAAAATGCTGATGGCAGGCTCCAAACGTGAAAATGAACAAACTTACTGTAACATAGTTTTCTAGATGAAATCTAAGAGCGTAAAATTATGCATTATTTATTATGTTTCAGAGCATTTTAAGAAAAGTGTCTCTCTTGTTTATATGGTAATTATTATGTATTTAACCTTTTATATTAAATTCATTTAGAAAGCAAAGTATCACTTATTTCAGAAACTATGAATTTGTTATGTAATTGGTGTTCTGCACATACGCGATATGTTATATAATACAGTATCTTTGTATATACCTAAGCATTTTAGAATAGTATAAGATGTCTAGTATAGCTCCAAATAACAGATGTTGTCACCAAGGCCAGAGACACCGAAAGAAATTGGCGAGCACACTGCTGGCATGTGAGAGCAGGGAAAGCTCAGTGCCTGTGGCTCTAGAGATTTCAGTGAAACACAGTATTTCTGTGACAAATATAAAAGCCTTAGTGATCATTACTGAAGGAGAGTTGTTATTATCTGAAACTCATCGCATAATTTCTAACTGTTTCATTTTGTTAAATAAAAACAGAAAGTAGAAAGCCACGACAACATTTTGCCCTTGATTTCTTGCCAGTAAGCAATTAATAAGCAGTCTATATTTTCTTTTCTAATTTGAGGCAGTGACTCAAGTATCTGAGCAAGTAACCCGGTAAAGTAGCTTGAAAGCATTTTCAGAAAGAACCACCTTTCTTTATGACAATTCTTAAAGTCTGTTCTTTTTCACTCTATCCAGCAGGGTATTAAAGCAGATGGTGAGACTCGTAGCCGAACTTTGGGCAGAGTGCAAGGAATCTTATGGAAGAAGGGGGAGATAGAAAGACCTGGAGAGGACAGGAGCTCCACAAGGAGAGCAACAGAACCAAAAAATCTGAGCCCAGGGATCTTTTCTGAGACTTATACTCCAAACAAGGACCATGCATGGAGATAAACTAGAACCCTTGCACAGATGTAGCCAATGGCAGCTCAGTCTCCAAGTGGGTACCCTAATAAGGGGATCAGGAACTGTCTCTGCCATAAACTCAGTGGCTGACTCTTTGATCACCTCCCCCTGATGGGGGAGTAGCCTTACCAGGCCACAGAAGAAGACAGTGCAGCCAGTCCTGATGAGACATGATAGGGTCTGGAAGGGGAGGAGGACTTCCCCTATCAGTGGAATGGGGAAGGGGAATGGGAGTAGAAGAGGGAGAGAGGGTGGGATTGAAAGGGGAAAAGGGAGGGAGCTACAGCTGGAATACAAAATGAATAAATTGGAATAAATAAATAAATAAATAAATAAATAAATAAATAAATAAATAAATAAGTGAAAAAAAAAAAAAACAAACTCATTGAAAAAAAAAGTCTGTTCTTTTCACCAAATAACCCACTCGAATCAGAAAAACATTTTACTCAAAGCTAATCCTTAAAATTGCTATGGTACATAAAAGAGAGAGAGAGTTTTCCTCTCTCTTAGCAAATTTGTCAAAGTTATTTCCTGGGCAGCAAAGAATTGTCTAAGATATTTAAGCCTCAAGGTTAAGACTGTCTCCTCTTCATCTGCACATCTTTTATAGGAGATGCTTCTCAGAAACTTAGAAACACTGTTCTAGAAGGAGATATTTCAAAGCGCCAGAAATTATTGAATTATCCTGAAGCTACAATGGAGCCAGAGTGAATTCATTTATCTGCAAATGAAAACAAACCAAAAACCTGGACATGTGGAAGGTAAATTGTTTACTAAATATTATGCTACTTGAATGTGAAACAGAGCTCCCTTGAGCATGGGTCATCTTAGACAAAGACCATATAAGTTGCTTATAGAGATCCATTTGGGTCAAAAGAAACTCCATACCACAGAATGAGAACTTGCAATGAGAACAACAACAAAATGTACTGTAGAGAAAATATGTATAAATATAATACTCACCAAGGGAGATAATATTGGGAAAAGAATAGTGATGGTAGCTGGGTTGCTGGCTACCTCCGTCAAAGAGGTGACAATCAAAGAAGATATCAGAATTATTAGCCAAACTGGTAATGAACCTAAAGGAGATAATTTACTTCCTATCCAGCTAGATAGTCCTGATACCTACAAAACAAATTGACAGTATTTATTACTCAGAAAATTCACTTTAATGAAGCACAATTAAAGCAGCACATACACATTTACTGAGTTTCTGAAATATCATTTCCTTTTTTCTTGTGTTTTGGTAAATATGCGTAGTTTTGATACGGACAAGTTTTCAGATTATTTCAGTACTATCATCATGCTTTAAGAAGTGTAAATTGTCTCCCCATACTTTAATCAATTGTTTTGTAATCTTCTGTAATTAACATAGGTAAATGTCGTAATAAGTCATGATGGACTATAGGGCTTTAAGAGAAGGGAAGACCCTTTCTCCTCTTCTTACTCCTAAACTGTACTTTCAGAGGCAAGAACTTTCAATTGTTATTAGCTATTCACACTGACATTTAGGTATTAATATAGATATTATCCAAAATAATATTGTAATTATGCTATTTAAAAAAAATTTCAACATGGAACATTTATTTATTAATTTCCACACATGTTACTTGAGGATAGTCTTTTCTTATACCATTCACCATATATATTTTTTGGCTCTTAATTCCCCATTACATAGCAAGACTTTTAGTTAAATCAATATTTAATATTTACTGCTGTAATTATGTAAATATTGTTCATTGTTGAGCCACTTAACCATCTAAGATTATATTTACTTTCTGTGTTTTTTCAAGAAAACATTATTTTGTTTGCTTAGTTTTCTAAGCAGCTATCACCAATTCATTAATATCTTCAAACTATTTGGAGACCTACCTACAAGCAAACAAACACATGAAGTTTGTTTTGTTCATGTTCCCTCAAGATGTCTGTCCTGAAATAGACACCCTACCTCCATCTGGACCAGATTTGTGTTAAACCTACTCAGCTGTTCTTCTGGGCTCCCTCTAGTCTCATCACTGCTGTGGGCTAAGCCTTCCTCCATTCCACTCACTTGGAAGAATATGTCCTCTCCTATGTGCTGAGATGGATGGATGAAAGGCACATTTGGGCTGGTCTCTACAGCTCTGAACATTCTTCTTTCTTCTCACACTATTTTCCTAGATCTGGTTTCTAAAATTCTAGTCTTGAAACCATTGCCGAAATTGGTCAGCAATGTTAAGTCATTAATCTATTTCCTGTGCCTTCCAGTGGTTTCTTTGGATTGCTGGCATACTGATCTTTGGTTTATTAGATTCAGTCCAAAAAAATTGCCTGCACTCTGATTAATCACTTTTTAAATTGTTTTTCCCACTAAAGAGGAATAGTCTACCTTTTGTGAAATAATTCTTATGACAAACTAGGCTAGGCCTTTTAAAAAGTTTTGACTCTAAGCAGTAAATTCAGTTCCAAAGTGAATACAAACATCACAGACTTGGGCGCTGTGTATCAGTTGTATTGTGCATTGTTTTGATTCATATACAAATAATCCACCATTTCATTCATTTGCATTTTAGTGTGTCTGTGTGTGTACAAGTGCATGCCATGTTTGTTTCTATGTATGTAGGCCTATGTTTGTGTGTGTATGTGTAGAAGCCTGAAGCTGATGTCAAGAGTCTTCCTAGATTGCTCTTCATGCTATTTTTTGAGGCAAGTTCTCTCAATTGAACCCACTGAAATGGCTAATCTGATAGCTATATGCTCTGCAATTACAGATGGCCACCTCACCCACCAGACATTTACATGGGTCCTGAGAATTTTAACTCTGTTCTCTGAAGTTGTAGAGGAAGCATTTTATCCAGTGAACCATATATGAATATGAATATTAGCTTTATGGATTCATGTATATGGATATAGCTGTTAGAAGTCCAAGAGACAGATTCCTAGAATATGAATAAAGAGTGTGTTGTTTTTTTCTAAGTCTGGTTGAGATGTGAGAGGAACGTACCATTTGTTTGTGATCCTCTCTGGAACCCACCTAAAGATTCTGAGCTCTACAATGTGGAATCTTCATGAATTCCTGCAGCATGAATATCTTTATAGCTGAAAATCTCAAAGGCCTCAATTCTGAGAAAGTCCTTGTGTTATCTTTAGAAACATCCTTTTCTCTTTTTAAACAGACTCTTAAGTTTTTAAACCAATGCACTAGCTTTATCTTTTACAAGTTTATTTTTATTTAAATTATAATTACATCATTTCCCACCTTGCCCTCTCTCTAGTCCTTCCAATGTTCCTCCATTCCCTCGAAAAGTTATGCCCTCCTTTTCCTTATTATTGTTATGCGCAAATACACTCACACACGTGAATGTGAATGCATATGTAAATTCAAGCTCCTGTGTTGCTTATGTGTGTTCTAGAGCTGACCATATGGTATTAGACAACCATCACTTTTAAGGGTTTACTTTCTTTTACCCTTTTATTGTATTTCTGAAATATATTTGATTTTACTTTCAACATTGTTGCTGAGTTTTAAGTACAAACATAGTATCATAGTTCTATTTTAGAGACTTTCTGATTATTTTATAAATGACATTTAATTTCATGTCTTTGCTCTTTCGAATATCTCTGAAGCACCAATGACAAAATTTGAAGTGTCCTTTGCTTTGTGCATTTTCTTCACTTTTTCCTTGATCCATTCTTTTCGATTTTATATTTCATTTTTCTGTGTTTGGTTATTGTACCTGAGGTTCCTCCAGATATCTGGTGACTCTTGAATATCTATTCATTTTTATTTAAAAAGACCATACAATGGTGAATTAAAGCTCTCGGTAATATAAGGATTCCCGAGGGAGGGCTGTGTTTCAATGTTGCTACAGAATAAAGCTCAAAAGTCTGTATGGCCATTCATAAGTGAGGATGGTATTTGAGGGAATCACATAATCGTGCAAGCTTTCTAAACTATCTTTACTATCCAGCTCTGGTTACTCCCATGCTTACAAAATTAACTGTTGCTTCCAATTTTTTGCCTTTTCGGGATATTGTTGCTATGTCTACTAATTTCTTGTGGACTCTTTCATTTTCTGGCTTACATAATTTATCTACTTGCACAAAACCATTTACTCCTAATATGTTTTTTTTTTTATCTTATATGGTTTTTGACCATCTTTTGTCTGTTATTGACTGTGATATGCCGTTTTTATCTTTAAAGACTGATTTTTTGTCATTATTATTTATTATTATTCTGTTCTTGAGAGCATAGGGATATTTGAGAAAGCAGTATTTAATCTTTCGCAGTTATCTTAGAAAAAAATCCATCTGGAATGTGTAAAAATCAACAGAAATTACATATTCATTGCTAAGAACTGGAAAGTGTCTATCTCTTTGTGAGACATCAATCATGTTGAATCAAATCAGGAGCATTTAAGAGAGAGGTCACAGCATGAGATGAATAACACATAATTGCTTTCTCATTTTTTTTTCAAGTTGAAGTATTTCCTGGCTTGAGACATTTGCCAGACAAATTACAACTTGAACCAAAAGTTTTTCAAGTGTCTACTGGTATTTTGTAAAACCAATTTCTAGGGTCATTTTTTTTTTCATATTTGTGTTAGACTTTTTTTTTTTTTTCCAGGAATCTGATGACCATAGTTTAGTTACTCAGGAGCAGATTTTTCTAGAAATTCTTGCAGAATGCAGATTCCAGTTGCTAGGATTTTTATAATGAATTAGTCCTCCCTCCATGATTTCCTTAAGCCTTCCACTGAGAGAGCCATGTTCATCAGACTAAACCACACCTTTTCATTTCCTCAGATTTGGCTGTTCTAGGGTCTGGTCGATGCTTTAAAAGCCACTTTGTCTAGAGTCCAGTCTAGACGTATTCTGAGGAGAGATGAGCAAAATTCTTATGAATACCAGACTTTCTTTCCTCATAGTTCAAATCAGCAGACATAAAGATGACAGTTATTTATTCTGAGAATCCAGATCTCACTACTGTTGAAATAGTAGAAAGGAAAATTGTTATTGTCTTATATTTCTACCATTTCTATCTGGACAGATTATGAGGCAAGGCAAATCTAAGCCTAAAAACAGTTTTGCAAAAGGCTCTCTGAATTGAGATGATTTTAAGACTTACAGCTATTACTAAATCCTATTGCTAAAAGCTCAAAATCTAAATACTTTACAGAGACTGGTAATGAAATCAGAAGCAAATAGTATTCTCCCAACAAACTATCAAGAGGAAACGATAGCACTTTGTCCTGAGACTTGTTAAAAATTAAATACATAAAAATAACTTCTAAGAAGCCAGGAGACTTGTCATAATTCCTCCCTAGCCACTCCCCTGTCTGTGACTGGGTGTGGAAATTGATGTGAATCAGCTCTGAATATTTAATAAAATGCCATGAAACCCATGAGTGACTGGTGTGTAGTCAAACAAAAGAAAAGGAATATTTTTTTTTCCTCTTTTAAAAGAAATTTTTTTAGAGCTTCATACATTAGATACATACTGTTATCTACACCACTTCTAAGCCTCCCTCCTCAAACTTCTTCCATGTCTCCCCTCCTAAATTCATGGTCTATTCTTTAAGTACATATTATAGTACACACACGTATCTATACACCTATTGAGTTCATTAGATGTTGTTTGTGTGTACATGTGTCCATGAATTTTTAGAGAAGATACTCTTCTTTTAGGAAAGCTACAATGACCAGGGCTATTAGAAGGGATAACAGCTTGCTTTGCATGAGCTGGTGGATACAGATCAATGAAACAGGCAACTGTCTCACTCTTGATGTTTTCATTTCTTCCTTACAATGAATTTACTAGATTAGAAACTGTCACATTAAATTGGCTGGATTTCACTCACTAGATATATTTAACTATGACACTGTTTTTCAGTCTTCTTATTTGACAATGGTAGAATCATGACTTATTGAAACCCAAGATCCATGCACCTTCCTATGAAATAAGGTCAAAGTATAAGCAAACAAGCAAATAAACATGTTCCATTAGGAATCAGTCTCTTGAATGTAAGTTTTTGCTCGTAGTAAGCTACTCTCCTAATATAATTTCAGAGATTAAGACTTTTAATCTTCTTTGCATTGTTTTTTGTTGTGCTGGAACACCATGACATTATGTTTATGCTTATAGCCTGTGAAAGTTCTTGAACTATGAACTCACCTCATCTGTGTGGGAGGTTGCCTGGCTATTGAATTCTGCATTATTAAAATGAGAGGATAAAGGTGAATGTGCCCAAAGCTTGAACGTGCCTGTGCTCTTCTTTTCAACAGTCTAGTTAATTACTAAATATCTTACACAGTGTGCGTTACCTGACAGCCATCTGCCAGGGCAAAGCCTCCGCCCACCAGAATGGCTATGTCCCACGGCATGAATGACTGGAACTCTTTCCAAGTAATCAGGGGAGTGTAATCAAAAGCAACTGCAAAACAAAAATCCTACAGTTACATATTGTTTAAAATAAGACAATATTAGCATTTCATCAGTGTCCTGAATAGTCATTTTGCAATCTTGCAATATTCGGATACTGTTCTCAAGGCAGAGATTTGACCTAGACTTTGAGTTTACACTAACCTTAGGTGGAATATTACAGTGATTAAAAATCTCACAACTTTGGGGCTGGAGAAATGGCTCAGCAGTTAAAAACATTGGCTGATTTTCCAGAGAACCCAGGTGCAATTTTCAGCACCTACATGGTGGCTCACAACTGTCTGTACCTCCAGTTTCATGAGGTCTGGTGCCCTCTTCTGGACTCTTACAGGCATGATGGACCCAGATTGTGCATATAAATACTTGTAAGGGAAACAATCCTACACCTAAAATTTAAAAAAAGCTTCAATAATAAACTTTTAAAAAGTAATTTGGACAAATCTTTCAAACAGTACTTAAGATTTATTTAGAAAAGTTACTATGATATTGTCATTTGCAATACCATACATTCATTGGCTCATCTTTCTATCATCTTCCTATTGGATAGTGCACTGAAGTCTGAGCTACAATCACCCGAGAAAAGAGACTCAATTAAGAATTACCTTGATTGGTGTGGCCTTGGGTGTGTCAGTGAGGGACTGACCCAGACAACTGTGTGTCATACCATTTCATGTGATGAGCCCCTGGCTTTTATAAGAGTAGAGGAAGCTTTACAATCGTGAATGCATTTGTGTATTTCTGCTCTTGACAGTGGATGTGATATGACTGAAGTTCCTTCCTTGATAACTGTCCAATGATGGACTGTACCCCAGGACTGTAAGCCAAATGATCCTTCCCCACCCCCTCATATTGTTTTGTTGTCAGGCTATTTATGCCAGCAACCACTATGAAACTAGGACATTCACTTTTCTTTTTTATGTCAAATGCTGGTAATACCCCATGTTTCCTCGATAGCATCAGCACAGAATTTTAATTATCGACTTAAGTTCATTTAGTTTTTAAAAATTTTTTAGTCATAAAGGGAATCAAGATTCTGGTTGGAAGATTATTCAAAATTCAAAACTGAATGTTGGAGTAGTTTTCAAGAATGATTATGCTCATAAAGCAATTACCATAAAGAGTTTTCCTCATATATTTCCATCAACATGGTAAATTAATTTAGGAGTGCATTATAGTCTTTTAAAATTTGTATGTTACATGTGTCCTCTCTACACAGTGAGGTTATAGAACACTATTAAGCTTCCTTTATACTCTCTCTTCCAGCTCCAAAGCAAACCTTTAACTGATGACTGAAAATGAGCTACCACGTTTTCTACTTGGATCAAGGTCATATGTATTGTTGCAATGCAGATATCTTTGAAATGTGTCAGTCACAGTTTAACATGTCCTCCCTGTCACCTGTATTGCGTGCTGGGTTTATCCAGGAGAAAAACTGTGAAATAATGAGGGTACAGAGAGAACTTGATAGCGTCAAGGATCTCTCTTAAGGGCAGTATCAGACTAAGAACCAAGGAGGCTGAAGCAAACCCCTTCTTTCTCAGTACTTGCTACCGCTGAGTGCTAGGGCTTTAAGTATAGTGCCTGAAGGTTCTAGAGCCGTGGTTCTCAACTTCCCTAACGCTGCAACCCTATAACACAGTTTCTCATGTTGTGATAACCCCCAATCATAAAATTATTTCGGTTGCTACTTCGTAACTGTAATTCTGCTATTGTTACAAATTGTAATGTAAATATCTGATATGCAGGATATCTGATAGATAATGTGACTCCTGTGAAAGGGTCATTCAACCCACGGGCTGAAAACCACTGTTCTAGGGTCTCAGAGGAACCACTGTTATAGATTTGACATATCTCTATAACAAACATTGATATATCCTAACCTCACAAATAATGGAACAATTTTATTTTTGCAGTATGCTGCTCATTTATATCATGTCCCCCAAATCTGAAATATTTGTCATTTACAGATGACTTAAGAGTTCAGCTGGATCAATCCAACTATAGAACTCCTAGTTTCACTCCAGCAAAAACAGACAAACAAACAAAAACCCACTCAGCTGTGTTTTCCAACTATTACAACCCATGTACCCTGTGTATAGGAATACATGAATATAGGGGAATAGGTCCAGAGCTGATGTGAACATAAAGCACAGCCATGAATGAATCCTGTGTAAGAAATACATGTTGGAGAATGTATGCTTCCAGACATGTGTCCATGGGCTGTTAGTTAAGTGACTGCTTCCACTGAATAACTTTTCCAATTGTGCTCAGTTTTTATATACATGGGAACTTGTTTTCTTCTTCTTCAGGGATTTCTGTGAAACTGGAAGTGATATTTCCCATGAAATCCATCCTTTTCTATATCCTCAGAACTTACTACCAAGGCCTCATCAAGAACAAGTAACTCATGAACTCTTGTTTCCTTCATAGTTAATATTCTGATCTTGGCAGGGGAGGTGGCATCTGTAACACAGCAGCTGGGTATAAAAGAAAATATACTTTTCACTTCTGTGGACTCTCGTGAGTCTCCCTGTAGGTGGACATAAATGCTGGCTGAACAGGGGGTTCTGGGTGTAAGTGAGAAATGATAAAATAGGGGTTGTGCTGGTGTGGCTATTTTTAATATTGTGTGTCGAAACTGAAGCAGATGGAACTTTGATTTCTTAAACAGATCTTCTATAAATTCAGTGTTCAATATGATACTTAACCAATTTCTCCTGTAGATGTAGTTTTTGTCAATTTCTTCGCTGGAATTACAAAGAAAAGTAGTCCTGTAACTAAAGCAACAGTTGAATCTGTAACAAAACCAGGGTACCTGAAAAATATAAACAAATGTGTGCATTAAAGTTGGCACGAAGAACCTATATGACCAATGATGTCAGTGAATTATGTCAATAATAATGAAGTAGAAGTGACAACATAGAGAGTTTACTCTGTTCTCATTTTAAGACATATCGACTTCCAGTAAAGTGACGTAACTTGTAAGGACCAATTATTTCAGGATGTATTCTTAATAATTCAATACATTTTACATGTTGTCAATATTGCAAATACCGATGCTACTTTGTCAGACCAAGAGAGTAAAATTTTCAGGTAAACTTTCAGATTTGTTAACCAATATCCTCTTTGAAATACTGCTTTTTATTCTGATGTCAAGAAACTGATCTTGAAACAGTTGCTGGAGTTTGGCAAAGCCCCATGTAACTGATTTTTAATGTCCTTCTATTGAGTTAAGCGAGACATGCTGTTGCTAGTGTCCTCTCAAACTACTCTATAAGCTGTGAAAGCAAATTGATCAGGCTTCTAGGATGAGGCACCTGCTTCTGCAGTGGGTACCAGACATTCAAACAAAGGAAATCGACCCATTCCATGCTTTGCCCTCTAGAAATTTAAGAAGATCAATTCTCAGGCTGGCTTATGAGATGCTCACAACTGATCACTGTACAGATGGACCAAGAGTGGCCAGACCATCCTAGCAAAAGGACAGGTTCCCGGAAGCCTCCGCAGTTAGGAGGCACCTGGCGATTATACAAATGAAACAGAAACAAATAATTAGAATACAGCTTTAGCTGTCAGCTAAACTATGTGCTTTTTTTATGGCCTAAAGAAATGTGTACATCAAAGGCTTGTTTTTCCATCTTATATCGCAATATATTTATTTTCAGTGAAAGTGTCTATATTCTTGTACTTTATGTGTAAAAATCTAACTAATCAAGGAAGTACGTTATGCCTCTCAATTTGATACATATTTTTAAAGTGTAACTTAAATATGGACTTTCTTTTCTTGTTTACTAAAACCCTACAGTGGCATAATTATTTCTGAAAACCTGACCAATCCCTGAAACTACACTGTTTTCTTATTGTTCTATTCTAGTTGTAATTTCTGGCTAAGTTTTTGCCAAGCCGTGCCAGGTGTCATGTAACTGGATTTTGTTTTATATGAAAAGACATATTGAAATCAGTCCAGATTCAAGCAGATGGAATGAAAACATTAGGCGGCAGAAATAAATCTTAATATATCACAGCAGCTCTAGAAACCGTAGCTGCCTCAAACCTGCACAAAGTACACATATTCCACAGAATACATGCTTTAGACAAAGGTAGAAATTACAAGAAATATTTTCATTAAATGTATTAAATATAGTTGTTTCATTATTACTCTGAGTTTTGATTATTTATTAAATGGATTATCTCAGTACTCTAAGCTTTCAAGTTTATGTAACTTTTATTTGCCCCGTGATTGTTTTATTTATAGCTAAAGTTCATCCTCTTCCAAGCCCCTCCCACCTTTCCTATTGCTGTCTCTCACAATGCTATGTGATTGCAGAGCACCTGCTTTTAGAAAACTCTGCTTTCCTGCTGCTCACAAAATACCTCCTGAACTCTATTATCCTCCCATAAGAAAGAAAAAATAGATACTGAGGTACTGACTATCCTGTTGGGATTTTTCTCCTGGTTTTTTATTAGCTATTGTCTGATTCTATCTAGTTCTCAACACATTACTGTTGAGAAAGAGAGTCTTTACTTAATAAATAGTTAAGGGTTTTAAGGGGAAGCTGATTTATTTTTTAAATTTTTTTCTAAATCCTATTAGAAAAACATAAGAAGCTATTGTTCTATTAAACAATAGCTTCCTTTACATAAGTAGATAAGGCTTTTGTTTTGGAAGTCTCAAAATGAGAAGTTCTTTACCTAAAGGAATCAGAAGGCTCAAGTTGATCTTTTACAACATCTACCTCATGCTTTGCTTGAGGAAAGGAGGTCATAATGAATTTGAATTCATCCCTCACACCTTAAAAAAATATTAGCAACATCTATGAAAATGTCTATGAGGGAAGGTGCTGTCTCTTCCATGAGGCCAAAACAGCTGACTCAAGCAGCTTTGATTTGTGCTCCCAAACTACGTGGATTCTTGCTTAGGATGCAATACCAAAGGCCCAAGATGAAAGTTTTCTGGACCTAAGAACCAGAGTATATTTGTAAAAAATAGACTGAGAGCACAAGTCTCAAAACTAAACTCTATTGACATATAGAATGGCTAATTAAAAAAAAAAAAAGTTCTACAATTGTCCCCTCACTTCACAGGGCTCAGTAAGGGCTGCTAGAGCACCCAACTCTAAGAGGCAATGGTAATTCTGGCTTTAAACTCACTTGCTTCAAACTCATCTTTATCTACAAAATTGTGGCAGGGTCAATTTTGTAAGGAACCGTTTTTTGAAAAAACATGCAATGAAGAGAAAGAAAGAAAATTCTGAGCCCAATAAAATTTTCAGAAGCTATAACAGTGGCAAAAATCAGAGTATGATTCTGTGTATGTCAGATCACTAAGAGGCACTGTGTAGCATTTATTTCTCACAATAAAGATTCATTTAGCACTTTCAGTGGAAAAAAAACAACAGCAGTATTCTATGTGCTACTCTAAGTGAGAAGGCAGAGGCTTGCCAGGAATAAACAGACGGTTTGGGAGCACAGTCCAGGAGGGATGGCTCTCACAGGTACACGCCTAACCAGCTTAATTGTTCAGCCTAAGGTCTGACTTTGTCAAGAGGAAAAAGTCCAATGTATAGTGAACCCTGACTTTTATACAGGGCATGATATCTATCCTTTCTGCCTTCTTACCCTATACTCAATACCACACCCTCAGGAAGATTAGACATAAAAATATTATATTCTAAAGAAGTGAAACAAGAATCTCATGCTGTGTCACAACACAGAACAAAAAGGGCTTGCAGACTTCATGGGAATACTCACTTTGAAAACAGGACCGACCAACCAGTGACAAAGCCAGGATCCCTACTGAACCAGAGCAGAGCCATTATTATGAAGATTACCAAGGTCACGATTTCTTGATACCTGTAGAAAAACCCGCTGCTGTCATTTCTTACTTTCCAAACATTTGGGAAAACTCCGAGCTGTTGTCAAGCTAATCTTTTTTTATATGTTTATAATTAATAATTTTTCTGAATAGATAACCATTTCAATCACTCATTAAATAGTGAAGACTTTTATACTTAATTAAAAATTATGAAAAACATTCACATATTTTCAAATATTTATGTATGTGCATATATTTTATATTAGATATATGCTATATGCTCTTTTCAATATTACTAAAACATTTTTTAAAATTTTTTTATTAATTACACTTTATTCATTTTGTATCCCCCCATAAGCCCCTCCCTCCTCCCCTCCCGATCCCACCCTCCCTCCCCTTTCTGCATGCATGCCCCTCCCCAAGTCCACTGATAGGGGAGGTCCTCCTCTCCTTTCTAATCTTAGTCTATCAGTTCTCATCAAAAGTGGCTGCATTGTCCTCTACTGTGGCCTCAGGGGGAGGTGATCAACGAGCAGGCCAATCAGATTATGTCAGGCAGGAAACTTCCCAGAGACTCATACTCCAACCATGGACTATTCATGGAGATAACCTAGGACCCCTGCACAGATGTAGCCCATGACAGTTCAGTGTCCAAGTGGGTTACATAGTGATGTCAAGCTAATCTTAACAGACCATGGCATCTGTGGGAACTTGATGTTTTCTTATTTGAAAACACCAATGCTCTTTGAAAAGGCCCTTTCTCTTTCTCAGCTTTTCTAGCTTGTTGATATATATATATATATATATATATATATATATATATATATATATATAAAATGTGGGGCTATAATGGTTATTATTAGACCTAGGATTATCACAGTGATATTATTTAACCTGTTATCACAAATAATAAGACACAGACACCTGTTAGATTTATAATTGCCTTATTTACCTTGGACCAGGCAGGTATTTCACCTACACTGTCTCAGTATCCTCATGATTCATCTCCCAGCCACCAATCAATGCCATCCGCATTAACCCCCCAACTGGGCTACCTTTCATCCATAATCTTATAAATACTTGCTTTTTTTCTTCATCTGGGCCATTCCACGCCACTACTGGAGTCCTTCCTCCTGACCCACATGATTCCTTCTCCATGCTATCCCATCATGGCATCCTCCTTCTTCCTCACTTCCCTTCCATCTGTCTCCCGTGATTCTCTCTTGAACCCAAAAGTCCAGGAAACTTAGCCACGCCTACCTCATTCTACCATGCCCATGTATAGGCCATTTAATCAACCAATCAGGTATGTCTTAGGAAGGTTTATAAAACAAGGGCAGGTGTAGCCAGACCTTGAGGGTCAGTAACATGCATCAGACCAACCTCCAACAATTTCCCCTTTCTGTCTAACTAAAAGGCCATTTTTTTTTTACAGTAAGAATAATTATGAAACAAGTATAAAAACCAGTAGGTAAGAATAAATGGTCTGCGTGTGGTGTGGAAGTGTGTTTCTGTATGTGTGTGTATGTATGTATGTATACGTGTGTGTGTGTGTGTGTGTGTGTGTGTGTATGTGTGTGTGTACTCATGCATACTTTACCTCATTGGTCCAAGTTTTTCATATTCTTGCTTGATCACTTCAGCACAAGCTTTTTCTTTGACTGTTTTGGTTTTGCCACACTTGAACATCTCCGTAAAGCTGGAAAAGATAATAAAACTTTAGAGTTAAGGAAATTATTTCACCACCACCTCCCTTATGGAAGAAGAGTCTGTGAAGGCTTTATAAAATGGTTCTCTGCTGACACTGGGAATCCATGTCCTACGCCTGTGTCTCTGTCTCCTTCACTATTTTTTCCTTCTCTGCTTTGTCTGGCTTGCTCACCTCTAGATGTCCAATCTTTGCTTTCCTTTCCATGCTATCTTCTATCTACTGCTTCCCCTTTAAAGATCTTCTGTCCTACTTGCAGATTTCTATGTACCACCTGCCTTTATAACTCTCCATAGAATGACAATTATAAATACGTAGCATATACTTGATATTTATTTCCTTTAGAATATAATGTTCATCTTGAGGCTAACTACTGTGCATACGGAAGGTTCATCCTTTATGCGGAAGTGGAGGCCAGGACCAGGACAGTATCAGGGATGGTCTCTTTGACCCAGTGTCTCAGCATTGGCATACACTGTGAGAACTAGGCTTACCCACCCCATAACATTTCTGCTAAACTTATGAGGCACCTAGTGTCAGAGCCACCAACTCTCACAAAAGTGTTAAAGAGTTGACACTGGGGCATGAAATTCAAAATACTGAACTTAGACCCCAACCTAAGCTGCTCAAAGAAGTAAAAACAACTTTAGTCCTTTGTTTTTCTGTGAGATCCACCCTGCACCTTGCCCTAAAAGCAGAGTAGATAACCTCTGTGTGAACTTCCAACATGAAATACCACTCCTTTTCCCCTTTTAGCTGCTTGTTTTTGTAACCCCTTTTCACTGCTATTTTTTTTTCTTCATCCCAAAGTCTAAGGTCTTTAAGATTTTAAACAATTTTTGTGGGACATTACTCTAGACGTAATATTTTTATTTTATTCATTTATTTTTTATCCCTCTGGAGGAAGAAGGTGCCTCCAGAGAATCAGGTGCCTCCCAAGTGCTGGGGAGTAAGGGGGTGCACCACGGAGTTTCTGTGAGTTTTAAGCCATCCACCCCGGACACTGACAACCATCCTCACGCAAACAGGGATGCCTCTGTAATTAGACAGTTTCACTTACGATTAGTGAGGCACAAATGAAATTTTTGTTTCATTTAGCTTTCGGACTATTGCCAATCTCAAATTTTTATCCCTAATCACAAAATAAACATTATTATGTCAAGAAACAAGTCTGAGGACCACACAAGAACCACCTGTAGTCAAAGATAAAGCTTTTCCTCAGAAACGCCTTTCCCCTGTCTCAGCTGCGCTCTGTCCCTTTGGCTGCAGACAGTAAACAGTAGATGAAGCTGAATGTGCTTTGCTGCATCCAACAAAGGAACCGAGGAAGCATATGAGGACATGTCAACCTCTTTTCCACTGAAGTAAACGCAGAGGACTGATGGATGGGCTTCTGGGTGAGGGGCTGTTTATAAGGAGTGAATTAACTGTGCTAACAGCCAGAACACTAATCAGAATGTATGGTAGCCTGCCAGGGGAGTGGCAGCTAATTTCTGTTTGTCAGTCTAGAGCCTTTAGAGGTACATGCCTTGGCAAACTGAAAATGACTCTGAAAAATCAGTTTTAACATGAAACTACTGTGCCTAAGCAGAAGTGGGCAGCAAGAGGACTGTTTAAATAGAACACTGATCATGATCTATGGACTTTTCCTAATGAGTGTATTTCACAGGTTTTTTGTTTTGTTTGCTTGTTCGGTTGGTTGACTCCTCATTGGGAGCATATTCTGATAGTTCTTCCTTATATTAAAATAAAAATGGAGGTTGCATATGCATTTGTTTCAAGTCATTGAAAGCAGCAGCAAAGAATGAAAAAAAGCAATGGTCCAGTCTCTAAATAGTGTGTCCATGTCCACTGGCTCAGGATCGTTCTCCCTGCTTCCAGCCTTGCTACCTAAACAACTGAACCAGCCCCAAAAGCTTGGCTGTCCTGGGAGAGGCACTTCGTATGCAGCTGGCCTGTCACACTGAAGGCCACCTGCTGACGTCAGTGACATTCCACACATTTGCTTCAGCAGGGGGACAGCCACACGCTGCTCCCACAATCTGGATAGAACGTTTTTAAAACCATCAGTACTATCTTCCAACTACTAGCACAATTGGATGGTTAGGAGGAAAAAAAAAAAAAAAGAACAAGATGAAAATAAAGAAGGGGAAAATATTGGTCGTTACCTTGCTAGAGCAGGAAACCATGGTCCCAGATAAGACACCACACCCTACTATATTGTGTCAGTCTTCAAAAGTCGTGGTAGCTGAGAGTTCACCTCAGCGGTCTTAAGGAATAGTATGCTGCTTGATTCATAGGTCCTTAACATTATTTCACTATAAAAGTAAATCTTAAATATTTTATTATTCAGGAAAAAAACTCCATTTGTGAGACCACCTAATTCCCAATGGAGTGTTACATAAGTTGAAAGTGCGGGCTGTGTCTTAGCCTGGGTCCGTTGCCCTTTGTGGGTTTATGGTGGTGTCGTTTCAGTCACTCCAACACTGAACGTAGCAAGCCGCCAGCTCCAGCCCTATGAAAGCAGTGCACCTGAACCATTTCGGAAGACAGAACTTAACGTGTCTGTGGACTTGGCGGTTCTTGATTGATCGGTATATCTTACTTTGGTTGCTGCATGTTCAGTTTGGACACCTAAATGTTAACATGATTCTGAAAGTGATCTCACCAAACTTACAGGTAAATTGTCTTGTTTACAGTGGAAGCTACCGAGACTAATGATGATTGGTGCAATTTGCAGAGATTACTCATCTGTCCTGTGAGGAGCTGGTGTTATTCCTTGTGGTGGTTTGAATAATAATGGTCCTCATAGACTCATATCTTTGAAAACTTAGTTGCCAGGGAGTGGAACTCTTTTAAAGACTTAGAAGGATTAAGAGGTGTGGCCTTTTGGAGAAAATATGTCACTGGGGGTGGTCTTTAAAATCTCAACAGCCCATGTCAGGTCCAATCTCTCTCTCTCTCTGCTTTAAGATCAGATATAGCACTCATCTGTGTCTCTAGCACCTTGTGTGCCACCATGTTGCCTATGATGTTGATGATGGACTAACCTCTAAAACTGTAGGCAAGGCCTTAATGAAATGATTTCTTTGATAAGAGTGCCTTGGTCACAACAATACACACACACATTATTTATTTATTTATTTTGTCACTTTTTTTGAAGGCATTAACAACTGTGTAGCTAGCATGAATCAGGGAACCCTTCATGTTAACAGTTGAAAGTAACTTGATAATCTAAGAACACTCATCCTAAAAAGCACAGGACCATGGCTTCACACAACTCTACTGTGATAGTTGGATTGGGGCTACAATGTAAAGAGTTCCTTATGTCTTCCTGAGAAGTTACTATATCACTGGTTTACAATTTGAAGGGCACCCACTTAGAACTATAGTTTATAGACTCCACCAGTGCCAACGTGGTTTAATTACTTCAGCCTGTCCAAAGAGTTGTGTTTACTTATGGTAATATTTTGAGTATAAGAAACATGGAAACAAATGTATAGCATAGGGGGGAAAGAGCACTGGATATGGTGCTAAAAGCATGAGGTATATAGACGCCTTTATCACATTAGAGTAAAATGTCTGCTTACTTGAATCCTAAGTAAAGCCAGTGAAGCCAGATCCAGGACAAGAGTAGAAGAATAATAGAAATCGGGAAGGAAAACGAAAACCAGGATCCAAAGTTGAGGCAGCGACACTCGGGGTAGCGTCTGTATGAAAAAGAAAAACCATGTTAGGGAGGACAGACACCTGGGCTCTTCATGGACAGTCAGGAGGTTGGGAGCAGCAGTCTGCATCTCTCTGTGCCTCCAGCAGAGACGGCTGTCCGGGAGGGCACTCACGGTCCACGCATTAACCAGCATTCCCTTTTTTATCTCCTGCCCTCATTCTGTAACCATATAATTATACTACACCCGCACACAAGTAGGAGGACTGTGTTTTAGTGTTTGTTCTTTTAAGTCAACCTCTAATGGAATACTTGTGAGAAATGCCCATTGCTGCAGCTCAGACTCGTTAGATACAAAATAAAGAAGTGTGCAGGAAGGGGTGTGTTTTGTTGTTACTGTTCAAATCCTCAGATTAGAAATGAGCAAAAGACTGATCAGCTGGGCTGGGGACAGGTGGAAATGACAAGAAGTCATTATTGGTTGCCATGCCCCATTGGTAATTGGCATCTTAATGCCTAGGAGGAACTTGGACTTGGCTCAGACTCTCTTCTGCTTAGTTTTTGGTTTCTTTTACCAAAAGCATGGTACCATCTTGGCTATAGGAGAGGTCATTCTACCTAAATTTGAGCTCAGTCTAATGAAACAACTCTGAAGCAGAGGAAAATAGTAAAATATTCTGTGTAAGACATCTGATTTTTCTTTATCTCCAAGTTATTTTACTTTCAAATTAACAAAATAATGAAACATCAGCAATTAAATATGCTTAGATAATGAACACCTTTTTTGGTGACCTTATATTCATTACTTTTAAATATAGTCTAAACACTAAATAAATTATCATATCACAGTCATTGTATAAGTACAGAGGAACATCAGAAAGTTTGAAAAATAATTGGCTTTGATTGTTTTTTCTTAATGTGATAACAAAAGAGTTGGAAATCTAAATATACATAAAAATCAAAAACCTATTTTTAGTTCTTTTGAAATGACAAAATATAGAAAGCTTGTGAAAATAAAGATTTTCAGTTTTTTTTTTTTTTAATAGTTTAATAGGAAATTGCATAGCAATTTCCTCTGAATTAAAGTATAACTTTCTGGAAGGAGGCGGAACGTTCATGAGACTCAACAAGGCACACAAGTCTAGGAAGTTGAACCTAAATCACAACCCTAACCCCCACCAAGGTTATAATCAGGAAACGATTGCCATGAGGAGGCTCTGTGGTGAGCGAAGGAATGAAGGAAAGATGGCGGATATGAAAATGGAGTAGTGAGCCACTAGAGGATAAAGTCCTGTCATTTCCCACAGTTTACTTATGGATACATACGGAACACACTATAGTGAGGGAATAGGCCTGGCACGGGAAAACAAGCTCTGCATGACCTTGCTCATCTGTGGAACCTAGAAATGTGGAGCTAATAGAATTTGAGAGCAGAACAGTGGTTCCCAGAGGTCGGGCCAGTAGGCAGGAGGGCCATAGATGTTTAAGCTGCAGTTGGCTAAGAGAAGAAACACATTCTGGTGCTCCATTTTATGATTGGCTTGCTACCAGTAACAACAGTCATTAAGGGGAATGATTTGAATATGTCACTACAAAGAGTGATAAATATTTGAGGTGCTTGCCCTAATTTGAACCATAAAACTGTGTTGAAGTGTAACTTTGTATGCCATAAACGTAAATACGTTTTAATATATCAATTCAAAATTTTAGTTGATGGTGGTAAAGATAAAAAGAAAGCAATTTATAATTGTTTTTTAATCATAAATGGATAAAGGGTAAGCAATTAGGATCAAATTTCATTTGTCTGAATGTCAATCAGTTCCCAGTTTTCCCAGCAGTACTTGTGAAAGGTCCTCCCTCATCTGTGAGTTTAAGAATAAATTTTTAGAATTCAGTTAGGAGTTATGCTGGCTTAGTAAAGTAGCAACTGTAGGTTATTCTCCAAGACCCATGACTTCACTAACCCCAAGTAGTTGGATACGTTTCCAGCACCAGGTGTGACTTGTTAAGTGGCCTCAAGTCCAATTAGAGAGCTGTTGGTTACCTCCAAGGTATGCGTGCCACTAAAAATTATTTTTCTTACAGAACAGCCCCAATTGGTTAGCCAATACATGATCAGCCCTGAAACAATATGTGTACAAGTAGCATAATATGTATTTATATATTTAGGAATTTTTAATGTTTATATTATATAATCAATATATTTGATACATGTTATATATGATTAAAGAAATAGGAATAATGAATTTGAATGGGTAAGTGGGAAAGTTTGAAGGAAGGAAAGGAAAGGGAGAAAATGATGTGACTAAATATTTTAATTTCAAGAACATTTTAAAGGATCTGTTTTTTCTCTAATGTGTATTTTTTGGTGTTTTGTCAAGAATTAGATGATTGTGGGTGGATGGACTTATGTCCATCAGTCATATTCCACTGACCAGTGACTCTGTTTTTGTTTTTGCACCTTTTTTTTCCCTTTTTTTTTTTTTTTCTGTGACTGTAGTATAGCTTGAGATCAGGTATGGTGATACCTGCAGCGATGTTTTAGTTGTTGTTCAGAACAGCTTAGTCTGTTTAGAATCTTTTGTGATTCCATATGAATTTTAAGATTTTCAAAAAATTCTGCAAATAGTTGCATTGGAATTTTTTTTTAGTTAAGATGGTGAAGTGTGAGCGACAGGCTGGCTGGGGAAACAGGTCATTAGGGGAGCAGATTTAGAATAACTTCACATGTACTTTAGTTTTCCAAGTGATCATGTTTGATAGACTTTTATATACATGAGTCTAGAGCTCAGTGGAAGGGACAAAGATGGAGTTCTAAAATGGGAATCCATGACACACAGGCAGGATTCTAAGCTAGGGAGGTGGGATTGGTTAGGGATGACATGGAGATTTAGATGGCGAGCTGAATCTCAGTGCGTGCCTAGGCTTGCCTTGTTCTAAGAGGTCAGGAAGAGGTGGAGGAATGAGCAGCTAGGCTAAGAACTTTCAGGTCTAATAAAAATATCCTGAGCATGGCATCACGCTTCTGTCTCAGAGGGAGAATTGCTAAGTCTTCGGAGCTAAGTGTGCTATTCAAGGTCAGGGATTGTGCGGTCAGTGGGATTTTCAACCCGGAAGTTTTAATTTAAAACAAAGCTGTTTATTGCTAAATCACTGTGTTGTCAACTACAGGTCGCAGCTGAACATGGAAAGTTCTGTGTATATCATAAAATATCCATAAGCTAGAGTATAATCTTCATATTTTTATGGAAATTTAAAAGTTATATTTTTTTTCATGTAAAACATGCCTGGACCTAAAGCATGGATATGCCCACGTGCTGACAGTAAAAATGATACCACAGCTCTTGCAGTTCTTATGTCCAACTAGGAACAAGATGGATAATTTTAACTCAAGGGGGAAATGCACAGGAACAGCCTCAAAAGAAATGAAATATGGAAATCTACAGCCTTTTGGGTCATTAACAGTCATAATGAGTTGGTGTCTACACCAATAATAATCCTTTTCTATTATAACCCTTTTGATTAACACTTTTTTTCAATAGTATGAGACACTCACTCCTCAGCTTTGGATTTGAGGACTCTGAGAAATACTTAATTTTTTTTTTAAAGAAGTTTGAAAATGTTGTCTGCTTTTTGTTTTCATAAGCCAGGCATAATATCTAACAGCAAGAACAAGGCAGCACAGATGAATGCACAGCAGTGTGACAGCATGCAAAAGACCTGTGCAGGTCCAAACCGGACTAAATATCAGCATGAAGAGGGGACTGGGTGCCCACTCCCAGCTGGGGAGCTATTGGCAACTGTGACCTGCTGGGAGAAGAGGGCTGCTTTTCCCTAGGAGTGAGCTCCCCATAAGCCTCTGACTAGGCTCCAGTGGAATGTCACACAGCCAAGAATATTTGGGTAGCACAAACTAACCTTGTTAAGGAAAAAATTAAAGGGTGAGCAGGAAAGTGGCAAAGGGCAAAGTTGGGGGAAGGAGTGTGAATATGATTAAAACAAGGTGTATGAAAGTCTCAAAGAACTATTTAAAACAAACAAACAAACAAACAAACAAACAAACAAAAAAACAAAGAGCAAGGTAGCAGCGAACCAGGGTTGCTGACAGTTTTGCTGTCCCCAGGCTCCATGGAGAGCTGAACTTTTCACTGCACTTTCAATTTTTACGGTAATACATTATAATATTTTCCCTGTTTAAATTAAAAAAAAAACCCTGATGTCCAAAGAAGTTTAGCTGATACATGACAGACTCAGAGTCTTAAGTGAATTCTGATCCAAATTCTGTGACACCTACATCTTGAATTAAAAGTATTCTTTTATTATGTAACTGCTTATGTGGTGTGTGTGTGTGAGTATGTATGAGTGTGTATGCACACGGGCACAGGTGTACTGCGTTCATGCCACAGAGCACATCTGGAGGGCATAGAACAACCTACAGAGTGGGCTTTCACCTTCCATCATGTGGGTCCGAAGGTCAGAATCCTGTTGCCAGGCTTGGTGGCAAGCACCTTCACCCGCTTAGGCAATTTTGCTGGTCCTCACATTTCTTCCCTGGTAGTTTCCAGGGAATTTGTTTCTAAGAGATTTATACTGCTCATTTCCAAGTGGAATCTGTGCTAGTAATTGAAGGGAATTAGTACTGTATTAGAAGGGAATAAGTTTACTTTCTTCATCTCTGGTTAGAAAAGACAATAAGGTAGACAGGTAAGCTTTGAGCCCAGGGCAAGTACAAAAGCATTTCTTTTACTATCCCTCAGTCTATGAACTCAGAACAGCAGCCCACCCCTTGGCCACAGTTTTGTTTTCTGCAGAACGGCTGTCAGCAATCAACCATAATCTGAAAATATGCCTATTTGTCTTGATTCTGAAGAGAGGGAAAGTAGCGATGTTTTTATGATCTTCAATACAGTATGTTACAGCTCTTCTAATTTTTGACTGGCATTGTAAATATCTTTCAGTGACAAGGTCTACTTTACAAATTCAGTGCTGTGTTCGTGAGTAACAAATGCTACATGTATGTTTGGGTACTATCTATAGGTTTAAATATCCACTGAGGTTTGCAAGCCTACCTCCTATGGATAAGGTAGCTGCTGTAATGATTGGACTCAAAATTAGTAAGAATGACTATGATGACCTTGATAATAAGCCTTACTTCTAAGCTACTTTCTATGTCCATGATTTTATAGCTAAACCCGAATAACATATTTTTATAATCATGAACCTATGCCATTTTACTTGCTATAACATTCTCTTCCTTATCTCCAAAGCTTCTTTTTGACTGATGCTCTCATATTTACTTTTGATGATAATAAAGCATCAAAACTTCCCCACTATTATGAAAATAGTAATTGTTCTTAATATCTTTCCTTTCACAGGTTCATCTTGATGTGAAGATTATTCCACTGTTAGGATAAGCCCCAAGAACTATCAGTACTTTATGGACTCTATGTAGGTTCAATGTTTCTCTCACAGTCCTCTCCTCCCTCTGCCTTTTCCCAGAGTTTCTATTTCTTTCAAGGGTTGAAACCAGGCTGATATCTTAATTTTGTTCTAAAAGAATACCTGCTGAGCTTTCTTGGGCCAAAATTTATTCTTGTCTTTTTCAAACTTGAATAATTTCAACTTTCTGCTTCTTCTCCCTACTGTGGACTTATTCCAGTCTAATATAATTTGTGCTTAATCTAATTTGTGCCCACTATCGGCTGCTCCGTTGAACTTACCCTCTTCCAAAACACCAAAGATAATCATGCGCCTTTCTCAGCCATCTTCTTGCCTCTTCTTTGACTTCAGGTGCCCTGTTCCACCTGTTATTCTGATGCTGGACTTCACTTTTGGCTCTCAGAGCACCACACGCTTCTCATTCTCCACCTGCTTTAATTACCTTTCTTTACCTTCCTTATTAACCGTTTCTCCTGGAAGTATATTCATTTTCATATTCTTTTAAACATTTTCCTTGTGGCTATAACCATGTTCAAGAATTTAATTTTTGCTCCAATAGATACACTACTTGACTTATAATTACCTCAGAGAATGTACTTGCAAAGCCTGCTACAGATTTCCTTGTGAATAGGTTCTCAGTAGGCCATATCAGTATGATCAGATTAAGTTAATTTCTGAATGTGGCTCTGTGGAATATAGCTTTTTCTCTTCTAGAAGCTCCTGGCACTACAAACATCATGAGAGTTGCTTTAACCCCTCTTTCACCTGAAACTCTCACAATTAATGATAATGACCTTCAGGCTGCACAGTGTCTTGGATTTAAATCCTGTGATCCCAGAAGTAGCTTTTCATCATTTCTCTGAATATTGGTAATGGCCTTGTAAATGGTTCCCTTGACCCAGACTCTTAGAATGCCAATCTGTGTGCACAGTGCCGCTCTAACCTGTGCAAAAAACGGACACTGCCCCAGTTCTTGAGCATAGGTTGTAGCTATTGTTCCACTGACTTTATTACTCTACCTTGTGTTTGCTTCTAAAATCTTACTAAATAATGCCATTTTTTTTTCTCTAGCAAATCTTCTGTAGCATATGAGTAAACTCCTCTTTTAAAACACCCCTTCAGTTTCTGGGGAAGCAACTTGTCATTAGACAGTTTTCACAGTATATCTATCATCATGATGTTCTTTTATTATTATCATCTCTCAACCTATCTACAAGAATTGTATATGGATTTATGGACAAATAAGTGATAATAAATTAGCAGACAAATAGACAGGTAAATATGTGGAAAATATTTCAAAGTAGGTTTACAATAGAGCATTTGGAAAATGGCATCTTGCTTTAAATATCAAAGGCAGAAATTAGTGATATTCAAGTTCCTTATAGCCTTTAGCATTGGACGACAAAATCATTGCACATTTACTATTGTTAAAAATGATGACAAGTAGTATCAAAAGGAAAAGAGTGTATTATATTTGTGGATTCCTAAATAAAGAAGAATATCTCTCCAGCTCTAAACATGTAAAAATAGAATATATTGCAGAGCTTTAAGCTTCTGACATTCCCCCACCAAAAAAAAAAAAAAAATTATATACCCCATTGTAGTTTTATAATACTAACTGTATTTTGCAAGGATACACTCAAGGGAAAACTTATTAAGTAACTATTTTATTTTATAACAGTGTTTTCTGTCAAATGGTGAATCTGATTTTATTCTAATCATGATTTTCACATATTTATTAGTGGAAAGGCAACAATTTGAAGACAAGCACTAGCTTGCTGATATATTTCAAGTAGTTTCTAAATTTAAAAGAAATTTTAGTCAAACTTCATGATGAAATACATTAGGTTCATGAAAATAGTTATTGAAACATTTAAAAAAATTTTAAATGCTCTTGACCTGATATTAAAAATAGATGAATGTATGCAAAAAAATCAAGAGAAAGATTAAATAATAAAAAAATTAAAAACTGGTTGATACAATACACAGGAACACAAAGAGCAGAGCAAACTCAGCATGGATTCAGTTGGGGAAAGTGATTTCACTGGAATGGTCTACCCACTCCATCCAGCAGCCTCTCTCTGACACCAACACTGGTAAACTGTCTGAATTGGGTCTCAACAATAGGAAGAGGATTCTCCAGAGCTGGTTGAGACATGTGATCTCTTTCCTTGGTCTTGGGTGCAATTCTACCTTGCAGAAATGATTCAGGTGTAAATCGAGTTCTGAGTTTGGCTATTCATGCCATTTAGCTCCTTGAGACTGAATTTCAGATGCCCTCCATTTACAAATCAAATACCTTTCAAATATTTCTTGCTAACTGATGGTTTAAGCCCATTAAGTATCCCTGAGAAGGGGAAGTAGACATAACGCCCCACTCTCAACCAAGAAGCTATTTAAAGTTGATACCTGCTGGGAAAGGAAAATTCGGCTTTCTCTTGATGCCATTGGGTATACCAAGTACCCTTCATGGCAGGCAAGTGAGGTTAACCAAGAGAATATGTACTCCATACGCTTTAAGGATTTTTATTTCCTTTTGTTTTTTTATAATTTTTTTTTCTTATTTGCTTTGATTTTCATTTTTGTCTTATTTGAGAGAGAAAGAGAGAACAGTGAGCTGGAAGGAAGGACCTGGGCGGGGAAGGACCTGGAAGGAGTTGGGAAAGGAGAAAAACATAACCAAAACACATTGTTTGAAAAATATAAAAGTAACATAAACACATTTTTATGTTAAAAAATATAAATTAAAACAAATGTATGAAACATTAAATACAGACAAAGGCCTTCAGGATTGAACCTGAGCATCTACATCATCCCTGTTCTCTGCACACAAGAGGCCCCTCTTTGTAGAATGGGGTGGGGGGCATTCTTAGCCTTGGATTTGTTGGAGAAGCAATGCGTGCAAAAAGTTTTACAAGTCATTTGAGGGTGTCGACAGAGCCTGGGGTTTTGCTCTTTAGAGCGTAACTCCCTGCTTCAGCACCTTACTTTTCATAAGTAAAACCTCCTCCTCTTCTTGGGCTTCTTTAACGACACTCATCTTCCGAGCATCCTGGCACGTACGTGTGCTATAATATATTTCTAATACTTAAAATAGACCTTGTTTCTGAACTCTCAAAAAAATATGCACTTTTGACTGCTGCCTCGGTAGTTTTACATAACGTAACTATTTTTACCATTATTTATACATTTAACTCTCACAGTATGTTTACAAAACACGACTTTCACATATAAAAAATTGCATGTTGGAGGAATTTTTTTTTATTTAACTTTTACAAAATAAATAAGTTAAATTGTAGTAGTTGTAACTAAAACATTATAGGGGTTGAAACTTCAGGTTCCTTGGTTTTTGTAAAGATCTGGTATCACAACGATGAACATTCATTTAATCATTCACACATCGGTAGGGTATTCTGGTGCTGTCATCTCTGGTAGCTACTGAATTCTTAAAAAAATTCTTTTTGGTTGCCAACCTCAGGCTCCTGCAGTTACCGCCTATGTTCACAGTTCACCATTTAAGTTCAAATAATCAGTATTCAAACTTTGCATAAACCATCTCATGCAACTATACATTTTCATGTCAGCTGATTGTCACATTCTTGAATTAGTTGTAAAGAACAATTCTTCCCTCTCTGAGAAGAGGCTGGGCTAGGAATGCTGCTCCCTTCCACAGGGATAAGCATGCTGCCTGTGATGTTGGCAGAGTAAGGCCTTTTTACAAAGTCATGAGCTGCTCTTAGCTTAGCAGGAGAACTGATCTTCAAGTACATGTTAATTTACCAGATCCTGCATATTTCATCTTCAGTCCAAAGGAAGGTCTCTAAGTTTACAGACAGCCTGACAGGAAACAAAGTTAATCCTGCCTGACAGTTCAGTCCCAGGACTTGAGTCAGGTAAGAATGATTTCTATAGTTTGTTTGCTGTCCACTTGTTGAATCACCAGTCTGATTTTACTTACGTATTGAAATGCTCGGCGAAGATCAGGTTGGTGGAGGTCCCCGTGATTGTGGTCAGCCCGCCAATGGTTGAAGAGTAAGCAATAGACAAACACATGAGTTTACACATCATGTGGTCTTTCTTTGACCGGTATTTTGGTCCTGTGGATAAGTTCTGTGAATAAGAAAATACAATATGATAACAGCTCTGTTTGCAGTCATAACACCATTTCCTATATAACGAATATGTCCCAGCTCTCCTGGTGTTTGAAGACAGACCGTTTGGAAGATAGTTAGAGTTAAGACACTCTAAGAGGAGACATTAATAGGTGGACATGCGTGCCCACAAAGCAGCCCTCACCAGGCCCTAACTCCTGCCAGACCTTGATCCTAGACTTAACTGTGGTAAATGAGGTTTTGTTGTATTTTGTCATTGTAGCCTATGCTAACTAATAAACAATCCCTTCTTATCGATAGAAATGGAACAATAAAATAAACATTTAAGAAAAACACTGAAATATTTCACAAACATAACTTCAGTCATCCTTTCATACTTCTTTCCTTTCTGACCCAATCCTCCTTCATTTCTTTCCTCTCAGCACAACTTCCAATGCTTTCTGTAGTTTTCTGCCATTATTGATGGTACATGGTCAGTAAGTTCCATCTGTAGGAGCTTTTCCCCATCTTGGTCTTTTGATGGTTGATATTCTTAAGAAGTTTCTCTAGGAACCAAATGCTTTCATCTTTATGATCCTTAGCATTGAGTAATGGAATCAGAATTCTTGTTCCTCACTATCTCCCAAAATAGCCTACATGTGTGTGTGCATGAGCATACATGTACACGCTTGCTTGCGTACACACACACACACACACACACACACACACACACACGCACAGGCACAGGCACACACACACTGAATCATGAAAGTTGGATATTCCTTTTTCTATACTTTTGATCATGATATTCTGAAGTAGTTATTTAGTTCTTTCATTTAACGCTTCTGCCTGGCTTGGTCTCTCCACCCTACCCATATTCCCTATTTTCATTTTTTTTCTGTGAGTTAATATCTTGACAAAACTAACTGAGGCAGAGAAAGAGTTTCCTCAGACTATAATTCCAGGTCACATTCTATCATGCCAGGAAAGTCACGAGAAGAAGCTTGAACAGGTAGTCATATTCAAATTGCTTGATTGCTTTTGCTCAACTTGACTTTTCTATATGTATACAGGTCCAGACTCTCTCAACTACATCGGATCCAAATCAATTTTATATCATATGAGCTGGGCAATTGAATACCAAATGAGACACTGAGATGCTGACTGAATTATCCAGTGTCAGTGCCTAAAAGTGGCAAACCTGGATAATGAAATTTTTGTCTTGCTTTAAAGTTCAGAGCTATATCTCTTGCTCTGTGTTCTTCATCCTCCTTAAAATATTCTCGTGTACACAATTCTATTGACTTTCATAAAGTGTTGTGAATGTGTTTAGATTCTTCCATATTCAGTAAATAATATCTCTGGCCTCGACTGATCTAGTAATATTTTGGAGACTCCATGGGTTAATCTTTGATGTTTCACACTTGATCCATATGCTCCAGTCTTCACATAAATTGAAGAACTACATTAGTACTTGATACCTTTTATTGTATTATTGTCATATGGATTTTGATATGTATGGTTATATTTTTAAACTAAGGCATATGGAAAATATCTGAAATAGTCAAGAATTGCTATATGGAGATCCACAGGCTATCATGGTAATCAAGAACACAATTAAAAGTATATTTATTTGTGTATATTGGCTGTTGTGTTTGTGCATCAGTGAACATCGGGGACTAGACACTACCTGTAACCTTGACTGCATTCCTTTTTTATAAATGCCTGCTGGCGTTGATGAGTCATAGGTTAGTTCCACTGTTCATTTTGTAAAGCACCTTTATCGTATTTCATAGAATGGCTGCAACAACCTGTAGCCCCACCTACAAAGCACAACAGGCTGCATTGGTATTCTACACAGATAAACATGCTGTCTGTGATATTGGCAGGGCAAACAAGGAAAAACGACTACTCTTTAAAAGTCAACATGGCTGTGGAAATGGCATTTAGCATGCCAGGGTTCAGGGCTGCAGACTATAATTTACCTTTTAATTAAGTTAAAGGTCGGTCAGCCCTTATAGGTATCCACTCTTTACCCAAAAGAAAAAAAAAATGAAACTCTACTTGCAAATGTTTTGTATTTTCTACATGATTTTTTTCTATTTAAAAGTTACCCTAAAAAGGTATGTAAAATATGGCAAACTTCATTAAATATTTTATGAGTGAAACTAAAAGATACCTGAAACTTAAGACTTACATATTAATTTTTTTTAATACAAGAAAGACATCTAACAGCCCAAAAAAGTGCTGTGTAATTTCGGCATTATTAAATTGATAGGTGTATATTTTTGAAAATATAATTTATATATAGTTTCCAATTAACATTAAAGCTTAAAGATTTAAAAACAAAGAGAAATATAGATTTTATATGAAAGATGAGCTATAAATATTTGTATATATAAGCATAATGATTAACTGCATTGGCAGATTTGTAATAAAAATAATTTTATACTGAGAGGCCTTAGTCTTTTTATATAAATAATATAAAAACACCATTAATGCTAGTGTGAGTGAACACTGATATTCTTGTAGATTTGATGGATTTAAACAGATGGAAATGTTTAGGGTCAATTCAAATTCCACAATAAATAAATCTATATACCAATTGATCATACCAATCAAAGGATTAATAGAATGTTTTTTATGAGAGATGCACATTTTTCCCATTCAGTATACACAAGCCTCATAATTGAGATTTATTGTCATCTTGTGGTGGGTATGGGAGGCCGAGGTTAACCAGTTTCCCTGGAGCAAGGAGTAGAATAGAGCTGACTGCTAATATAGAAATTGTGAAAAAAAAATTAAGTTCCTCACAAATTAATCTTTGGTCTCCTGCCAAGACAATAGTTTGAATTTAGAACCAGCAGAGAAAGAAGAAGCTGGATTCAATAATTTCAAATAGACGGTAGACCCTACCTAGGAGAACACATGTGTTTGAAAATACAGGATGAGATATCATCATTCTTTGTCATTATAGTGAAGGATTTTGGTGAGTGCTGTGTAAATATTTATTTTATACTGAGAAAGAGAGAGACCAGAGGAGGGACAGAGAGAGAAAGACAGAGTCAGGGACAGAGAGAAAATAGGAGAATTCCAAAGCATAGAAGGATTTTTTTTTTAAAAAAGTGAAGCTTCTAGAAATGTGATGAATGGAGTAGGAAGGAAAATGTGTCTTAATGACATTGTCACAGGTGTGTTATGAATGGGAGAGTGCTTATATCATAAGGTAAAGGAGATTTCTGTGTAATTACATAGGCAGGTTGACTTGTGTGCGCTTGTATACATAAATATATCCACATGTACATAGGTGACCTGAAATAATGCTAAAAAAATATGCCAAGATATTAAATAATGTCATTTCTTGATCATGGAATTATAGGTATTTGCTATCATCTTAATATATTTTGCATCCTCTGTAAGCACAAGAAGGTGTATTCGAACATGTAAAAATATATGCTAGAGAAGACAGATATTTAGAAGTGATATGGCACAAAGACCAATTTATTTTCAGATAATAAAATAAGCCATGATGCCGGGCATGGTGGTGCAGTCCTTTAATCCCAGTACTTAGGAGGGAGAGGCAGGAAGACCTGCCTGGTCTACCAGTTAAATCCAGTTAAGTCAAGGCAGAGACTGTCTCAAAAAATAAGAGAAGAAGAAGAAGAAGAAGAAGAAGAAGAAGAAGAAGAAGAAGAAGAAGAAGAAGAAGAAGAAGAAGAAGAAGAAGAAAGCTTTAAATGTGACAGCCATTTACCACAGAACTGAAGCCACAACTCTCTTATAACTTCCTCCCAACCATTTCCTCTTTACTACCCTCCCTTCCAATGGGCTTTTAATTTACTTAAGATTTTAAACCTACATCTGAAACTTTGATACAATCCCAATATCTGCTATACAGTAGTATTATTAGTTTACACACATAGACATGGTATCTAAGACCTGGCTGGTGTTTTCCCAGATCTTCCAAGCAACTGAAGCAGTTTCAATCATATCATGATAATATGCTGAAATTGCATAATCAAAGACAAGATAGAGCAGAAACTTCAGGCTTAGGCATCCCTTCCTGATGACTCCTGGTGGTAATTATGGTAGACAGAGAAGGCAAGATGCGCATTTCCCACCCTGAATGTCGAAACTGCACTTATAAATTACTAACAGCTAACCAACCATCTCTAGAGGTTCTACAAACTAGTTCACCAGAATAAACTGAATATGCTGTGAACACATCAAGGCTTCTGTTTATATTTCAATGATTATAAAAGTCTGAGTACGAAGGCTATTAAAGTAATTTCAGCTTACCATCAGCTTAAAATCTTGCAGTTTTTGTGTATATGTGCATTCACCTTAGTGTTTTACATAATTTTTTTTTTTAACTAGAGGGTGAACCTAGAGCCTTGCATACACATCTCCAGACTTTTTACTTCTTTGTTTAGAGACAAGGTCATACTCAGCCTGGCCGTGAACCCACTTTGTAGCCCATCCTGGCAGTTCTTGAAACTGAAATTCTTTTGCATCATTCCCCCAAGTAACTGGGATTACAGACCACCAGGTCCAGCTCAGGCCGTACCCTCGTATAGGCATTGCAATTCAATTTTTATATGCCATGTAGGCAGCATTTAACATTTTTTCCACAGCTTCCTTCCCTCAACACACCTACACTTTCTGTTTTCATGATCCTAACATCATAGCAACATAATTTGACTTAGACTATAATTCAGTGTTTCGGTGTAAATAGCTGGATAAAATAAAAATAGATAAATACATGGATGGAAATAGACAAAAGAATTTATAGAGTAATACATACCGCCTACTCACTGAGGATTTTGTGGGCAAACCACTCAATTCTAAATCCTGCCTTCTGTAAATTTTCTCACATCACAATTAAATGCTAGGCTACTTAAAACCTATCAGATATTCTCTGATTTCATTGTACAATAATCATCTCTGCCAACATTTCTTCATCTGGTTATCTCCCCTTCAGAACTAAAAAGAATTAGCTAGGCAACACCTACTTCATTG